TATCAACCCCTATCTCTTTACTTTTAATTCATGTTTTCCATTTTTTCTGAAAATATTGTTGTTTTCAATACATTTTTATATTTTCTCAACTCAAATGTCACATTTAAAAAATTGGAGAATTTTTGTTTGGGTTTCCCCACTTTTGTTTCTCGTTTTGTACGCTAATTAGAACCAAGGGGAAAGAAATGCATATTGCATTACGTAGACAACAAAATTTACATCCTTCTGAATATATAAAAACTAGAATTTGGGTTACTTTTCATTCATCATTTTCAATTTTACTGAAAAATTTTGAAAAATTTAAAAATTTTTTCATGCTGTCAAAATTAATTTATTTTAGATAAATTCTCTCAATTGTTAGAGATGGGACAAAATTTTTGGTGATTCAGAGAGTGATTCGAATTGAACAACGTACAAAAGTCGGTGTTCGCTCAGACAATTTTGTATGGGGAACTATGTAATTACTTCATAATTAGGGGTCGAACAACGAATGAGAGAGCGAACAACGCTCGTCTGTACATGGCATTATATAAGCAAGGCCAACAGACCTGAAAATATTTATAGGTTACAGGATATGAGTTTTATGAACATTGACATCTGTTCTTCAAATGTTTTTTCATTCAAGATTAAAAACACATTATTGTTTTTAATTATTGACCTTCCTTTACAATTTTGAAAAAATTAAGCTCTCACAAATCCCCACAAATATTCATTAAAATATCAAAAATTCTCCACACAAAAAAAAATCCTTCAAAATGTAATCCTTAGGGCCTTCCATAAAATTATGAAATAATCCCCACTTATACCTCCAAGAGTCCTTTAAGAAATATCCTCCAAAAATCCTTTAAAATCCTCCATCTTCATATAAATAAAAATCCAGATTTGTGGTTCTACTAACCTCCTTCTTTATGGTTTTGGCTTTCAATTTTTCTTATTTGTTTCCTCATTTTCAAAACACTACCACCACCACTACGACCAATTGCATAAAACTCCACAACAATACAGGCATTAAGTGTCCGAACATAAACCTAATGTCAAATAAAACATGTTTACACATAAATTACCCAGGAAAATTACTACTCACATCTGTCCATGAACAAATACGATTTACTCCATTCTGCAAATCAAGCAAATCGCACAACACACGATATGCTTAACGCCCACAAGCTAACACACATATACATCGGAACCCTTGGCCTCAAAGGAGCAATTGACTTCACTACAAGTGAATAAAGCCATAAAACCATTTAAACAATGAAGGAACATTTTGCGAAGGATTACAAATGAAAGGACTTTTGAAAGAATAAATTTTCAAGGAGTGGAATTTTTAAAGAATATTTTTGAAAAGGACATCAACATTTTTTAAAGAATATTTGTTCAAGCATCCAAAACAGGCGTGGATTTTTAAAGTATATATTTTATTACTTAATAAGCCGGCTTGTTACAGAACGGTTGTTCCATAAGCCGAGTTTGAAAATGATTTCCAAGCGCATCGGTCTTGTGCGCATCTCCTCCAATTTGAAAGACCATGTTCCGAGATGTTGTATTCTACATGGTCTTTCCATCTAATTCGTGGCCTTCACCTTCTACGTGAACCATTAGCTGGTTCGCTTTTATATGACTTCTGGGCTGGGGCATCTTCATCCATTCTCAAAATATGACCTAGCCAACGTAGTCGCTGCAGCCCAATACGTCTAACAATGTCGATGTCCGAGAATAGCTGGTACAACTCATGGTTCATTCGATGACAAGCAGATCGGTCCGGTAGCTCTTTCGGAGAAATTTTCTCTCAAACACCCCAAGAGCTGCCTCGTATGCTTGCGCAAGTACCCATGCTTTAGATCCATATAACAGCACGGGTAGTATCAGGGTCTTGTAGAGTGTGAGTTTGGTCTGGCGGGAGGTGGCCTTGTTTCTAAACTGTTAACTTAGACCATTGTAGCATCTGTTGGCCATCACTATCCTTCTCCGAATTTCAAAACGGATGTCATTCGTTTTATTTATGGCGGTATCAAGGTATATAAAATCTTTAACTACCTCGAAGCTGTAGTTCTCAAGTTCCACAGTTGATCCGAGTCTCCTGGACGTCTTGTGCGTTGATACCATCAGCTTGGTCTTCTCGCCATTTACTGCCAGATCCATTTTGACAGACTCCTTCTCAGTTTGTTCAAAGGTGGCTGTTATCGCTCGCAATGTTCGACCCATTATATCGATGTCATCGGCGTACGAAAGTAACATATGCTGTCTGGTGTACAGAGTGTCATTTCTCTTCACCTTTGCGTCTCTTATGACATTTTCCAGCAGGATGTTTTAAAATGGCACACGATAAACTGTCACCTTGTCTGGATCCTCGTTCGGTATTGAAGGGCTCCGATAGGTCTTTTCCGACATTAACTGGTGACCTTGTGCCGCTTAAAGTTATCCTGCATAGCCGTATTAATTTTACAGAAATGCCGAAAGCAGACATGACTTTAAAAACCTCTGAACGGATAGGGTTGTCGAATGCGGCTATATAGTCGACGCATTGGTATGGTCTAATAATGTCATTGACCATTGACTTTAGTCGTTCACACAACACGCTGGATAGCACTTTATATGCGATGGGAAGGAGACTTATTCCTCTATAGTTGGCACATATCGTCTTTCTCCCTTTTTATGCACGGGACACAGGATGCTGAAGTAGCAATCATTGGACATGCATTCTTCTAGCCAGATTGTACTAATCAGTTGGAGCATGCTCCTGACCACCAATCTTGAATAGTTCGGCTGGTAACCCATCGGCTCCTGCTGCTTTATTGTTCTTTAGGCGATTAAATGCTATTCTGACCTCATCGTGGCTATGTGGTATACAATCTATAATATCATCTCTTATTGGTTCAGGGATAACTTCTTCACCGAAACTATTTGATAACAGAAGCTTTTCAAAATGCTCTTTCCAGATCCCCCAACACGCTGTCTCTATCTGTCACCAGGTTTGCTTCTTCATCTCTAAAGAGGACGTGCCTGCACCAAAACCTTCGGTTTGGTGTTTTAATCATTGGTTAAATTTTCGGACTTCATTCTGACTCCTGTACAGCTCGATTTCACCTTTTTTATTGTTCTTTCTTCGTTTTTACTGAAAATACGTTTCTCCTCCCTCCTTTTCTCCCGATAGTTCTCCATCGCATTACGTGTTGCTACTGTCCGCAGGTTATCCCTTTGCGCTTCGTTTTTCATATCAGTAGCATTACGACACTCCTGATCGTACCACGGATTTCTTGATGGTTGGCTTTGGTACCCAAGTGTTGCTTTTGCTGCAATTTGTAGGGAGTGGGCAATTCTTTGCCATTGTGCTTCTATACTATTATCGGGACAAGAAATGCTTTCGTCAAGCAGGTGAGTAAGTTGAGCGGAGTAGGCTTCTGCTATCTGTTGTGTTTGCAGCTTTTCGACGTCGAGTTTCTGTGTTGTGTTAGATCGCACCCTTGCTGCTACATTAAGACGGGTGGGTACCTTTGCTACCACAATGATAATGGTCCGAATCGATATTAGCACCTCGGGTCGATCGGGCGTCTAATACACTGGAATAATGCCTTTCGTCTATAACAACACGATCAATTTGATTTCTCGTTGTTCGATCAGGAGAAATCCAAGTGACCTTGTTTATATTGAGATGCTTGAATCTGGTACTGGTAACTACCATGTCAATCAATCTCATGCCGTTGTCGGATGTTTCTTCATGGAGGCTGAATATTCCGACTGTGGGGCCAAACATATTTTCCTTCCGCTTTTGCATTAAATTTTAATGTCATGGCCAGGGCAACGGTCATATGCTGTTTCTGGGCGCTTGTAGAAAATGTCTTTGGTCTGCTCATCTTTGTCTTCGGTCGGAGCATGGGCGCAAATGAGACTGATGTAGAATAACTTCGCTTTTATACGGTTTATAGCAATTCGCTCATCTACTGGAGTGAATCTGGAGACGAGGTCTTTTATTCTCCTGTTAACCATAAATCCGCAGCCAAATTCATGTCTCATTTCATGGCAGCTATAATAGAGGGTGTAATCGTCTGATTTACCTACGCCAGTCCCCTTTCCATCATATTTCCTGCGATAATGTCGGCTTTAAAAAACTGTCGGCAAATCAAAAACTACGTCTGTTCTGTACAAGGTGCGCACATTCCAAGTGCAGATTCCCAGATCGTGGTTCTTTATACGTTTGCGGGGGTCTTCAACATTAGCTCGGTTTTCTTTTTCTTTGCTTTTTCATAGTAGGAGGGGTTTTCCGAGTGTGGACCCGACGCCTCAACCCATTTGTTACAGTTCTTATGGGTAAACTCGGGGCTCATATCATCTCACTATTTCAAGGGGTGATGGAAATAGGTACCCCAGCTGACACCACGGGGAGGTCAGTGTCCACAATTGAGATGAAAGAGGGACCAAGATAAGCCTGGACTTTGCCATGTTAAAGCCAATCGGAACCGTTGCTTGGTATCTAACATCCCCTACGCCACCACCACTCCTTCGTTAGTTCCTGAAAAATATTCTTTATGAAATCCACGCCTCTGGTAGTCCCTGAAAAATATTCTTTATGAAATCCACGCCTCTGTTAGTCCCTGAAAAATATTCTTTATGAAATCCACGCCTCTGTTAGTCCCTGAAAAATATTCTTTATGAAATCCACGCCTCTGTTAGTCCCTGAAAAATATTCTTTATGAAATCCACGCCTGGTGGTGGTCCTTGAAAAATATTCTTTATGAAATCCACGCCTCTGTTAGTCCCTGAAAAATATTCTTTATGAAATCCGCGTCTATTGATGTCCTGGAAAAAATTTTTTTTTAAATATATGAAGCTCTGTTTGTCCTAGAAAATTTGACTCTTTTCTTGGTCCCAGGGCATGTCATTAAAATCAATATGTTTCCTAACACTTAACCAAAGGAGTCCAATATTTTTCTCCTTGTTTTTACATCCCTTCTTCCGCACACATTTTCCCAAATTCCTTAAGGACAATAGAGGTCATTGACTTACCGCAATTTCGATTCATTTTCAAAGTGCTTCATGAAACTCTCACTGGCCGTATGATGATCGACAATGGTCACGTTGCGACTTTGGAACGAGTGCAGCACTGCGATGTTGACTTCGACCAAGGCCTTATCCTTCCACAAGGAGGTTGGGGTGCGGGTATCCAAATTCATTTTCAATGCCACAGTCTGCAAGGAGAGTTGAGAAAAAAAATAGAGAAATTGAAAAAAAAAACACTCCAACAATTCATCATGTCAGCCAGACAGACATACAGCCAGCCAACCAGCCAGCATGTCGTGCTGCTGCTGTGCATCACTGATTCTGGTGGCTCTAAGTCAGCATGAAATATGATTCCAATTCATTCGCAAAAAATATAAAACAAATCCCTAAATGGATGTTAATCAACTGGTAATGGGGGGGGGGGGTGGAGAGTCAAGTCATTTCATGTAAACAACTACAGCAACAACAACAATGATCATCATAATGGCCATCAAAAGTTTTTATGTTCAACATTTGTTTGGCGGGTTTGTCTGTCTGTCCGACCCTCAAGGGAGATACCCCCTCCTCTATCACTTACCTCTAAAATATTTCGCCGATTAACATCGCACAAATTCCGACAACCAATCTCGGTGGACATGTACCAGCCACTGAATGCGGTTGCCGTAAATTGAATGCCACCGACATCGAACAGCATACCCGATACCGCGGGCAGGGCATACCAGCGCAAACCCATTTCACCGAACCATTCGAATCTGAAAGAGGAAAAAAACATGGGAAAATGAGAAAACAATGGTGGCAACAACAAAAGAGCTGTTCTCTATAAAATATTGAAATAGCAAGGAAATCAGTTAGCCAAAATTATTATTTTTCTAAGGCCAGCAAGCCAGCCAAAGCGCGGATTTTTTAAAGAAAAATTTTCTAAGTTCAGCCAGCCAAGGCGTGGATTTTTTAAAGAATATTTTTCTAAGGCCAGCCAGCCAGCTAAGGCGTGGATTTTTTAAAAAAGATTTTTCTAAGGCCAGCCAGCCAAGGCGTGGATTTTTTAAAGAAGATTTTTCTAAGGCCAGCCAAGGCGTGGATTTTTTAAAGAAGATTTTTCTAAGGCCAGCCAAGGCGTGGATTTTTTAAAGAAGATTTTTCTAAGGCCAGCCAGCCAAGGCGTGGATTTTTTAAAGAAGATTTTTCTAAGGCCAGCCAAGGCGTGGATTTTTTAAAGAAGATTTTTCTAAGGCCAGCCAAGGCGTGGATTTTTTAAAGAAGATTTTTCTAAGGCCAGTCAGCCAAGGCGTGGATTTTTTAAAGAAGATTTTTCTAAGGCCAGCCAGCCAAGGCGTGGATTTTTTAAAGAAGATTTTTCTAAGGCCAGCCAACTAAGGCGTGGATTTTTTAAAGAAGATTTTTCTAAGGCCAGCCAACTAAGGCGTGGATTTTTTAAAGAAGATTTTTCTAAGGCCAGCCAACTAAGGCGTGGATTTTTTAAAGAAGATTTTTCTAAGGCCAGCCAACTAAGGCGTGGATTTTTTAAAGAAGATTTTTCTAAGGCCAGCCAACTAAGGCGTGGATTTTTTAAAGAAGATTTTTCTAAGGCCAGCCAACTAAGGCGTGGATTTTTTAAAGAAGATTTTTCTAAGGCCAGCCAACTAAGGCGTGGATTTTTTAAAGAAGATTTTTCTAAGGCCAACCAAGGCGTGGATTTTTTAAAGAAGGCGTGGATTTTTTAAAGAAGATTTTCTAAGGCCAGCCAACTAAGGCGTGGATTTTTTAAAGAAGATTTTTCTAAGGCCAGCCAACTAAGGCGTGGATTTTTTAAAGAAGATTTTTCTAAGGCCAGCCAACTAAGGCGTGGATTTTTTAAAGAAGATTTTTCTAAGGCCACATAAGGCGTGGATTTTTTAAAGAAGATTTTTCTAAGGCCAGCCAACTAAGGCGTGGATTTTTTAAAGAAGATTTTTCTAAGGCCAGCCAAGAAGATTTTTCTAAGCGTGGATTTTTTAAAGAAGATTTTTCTAAGGCCAGCCAAGGCGTGGATTTTTTAAAGAAGATTTTTCTAAGGCCAGCCAAAAGAAGATTTTTCTAAGGCGTGGATTTTTTAAAGAAGATTTTTCTAAGGCCAGCCAAGGCGTGGATTTTTTAAAGAAGATTTTTCTAAGGCCAGCCAAGGCGTGGATTTTTTAAAGAAGATTTTTCTAAGGCCAGCCAAGGCGTGGATTTTTTAAAGAAGATTTTTCTAAGGCCAGCCAAGGCGTGGATTTTTTAAAGAAGATTTTTCTAAGGCCAGCCAAGGCGTGGATTTTTTAAAGAAGATTTTTCTAAGGCCAGCCAAGGCGTGGATTTTTTAAAGAAGATTTTTCTAAGGCCAGCCAAGGCGTGGATTTTTTAAAGAAGATTTTTCTAAGGCCAGCCAAGGCGTGGATTTTTTAAAGAAGATTTTTCTAAGGCCAGCCAAGGCGTGGATTTTTTAAAGAAGATTTTTCTAAGGCCAGCCAAGGCGTGGATTTTTTAAAGAAGATTTTTCTAAGGCCAGCCAAGGCGTGGATTTTTTAAAGAAGATTTTTCTAAGGCCAGCCAAGGCGTGGATTTTTTAAAGAAGATTTTTCTAAGGCCAGCCAAGGCGTGGATTTTTTAAAGAAGATTTTTCTAAGGCCAGCCAAGGCGTGGATTTTTTAAAGAAGATTTTTCTAAGGCCAGCCAAGGCGTGGATTTTTTAAAGAAGATTTTTCTAAGGCCAGCCAAGGCGTGGATTTTTTAAAGAAGATTTTTCTAAGGCCAGCCAAGGCGTGGATTTTTTAAAGAAGATTTTTCTAAGGCCAGCCAAGGCGTGGATTTTTTAAAGAAGATTTTTCTAAGGCAGCCAAGGCGTGGATTTTTTAAACATCCAGCCAAGGCGTGGATTTTTTAAACATCCAGCCAAGGCGTGGATTTTTTAAACATCCAGCCAAGGCGTGGATTTTTTAAAGAAGATTTTTCTAAGGCCAGCCAAGGCGTGGATTTTTTAAAGAAGATTTTTCTAAGGCCAGCCAAGGCGTGGATTTTTTAAAGAAGATTTTTCTAAGGCCAGCCAAGGCGTGGATTTTTTAAAGAAGATTTTTCTAAGGCCAGCCAAGGCGTGGATTTTTTAAAGAAGATTTTTCTAAGGCCAGCCAAGGCGTGGATTTTTTAAAGAAGATTTTTCTAAGGCCAGCCAAGGCGTGGATTTTTTAAAGAAGATTTTCTAAGGCCAGCCAAGGCGTGGATTTTTTAAAGAAGATTTTTCTAAGGCCAGCCAAGGCGTGGATTTTTTAAAGAAGATTTTTCTAAGGCCAGCCAAGGCGTGGATTTTTTAAAGAAGATTTTTCTAAGGCCAGCCAAGGCGTGGATTTTTTAAAGAAGATTTTTCTAAGGCCAGCCAAGGCGTGGATTTTTTAAAGAAGATTTTTCTAAGGCCAGCCAAGGCGTGGATTTTTTAAAGAAGATTTTTCTAAGGCCAGCCAAGGCGTGGATTTTTTAAAGAAGATTTTTCTAAGGCCAGCCAAGGCGTGGATTTTTTAAAGAAGATTTTTCTAAGGCCAGCCAAGGCGTGGATTTTTTAAAGAAGATTTTTCTAAGGCCAGCCAAGGCGTGGATTTTTTAAAGAAGATTTTTCTAAGGCCAGCCAAGGCGTGGATTTTTTAAAGAAGATTTTTCTAAGGCCAGCCAGCCAAGGCGTGGATTTTTTAAAGAAGATTTTTCTAAGGCCAGCAGCCAAGGCGTGGATTTTTTAAAGAAGATTTTTCTAAGGCCAGCCAAGGCGTGGATTTTTTAAAGAAGATTTTTCTAAGGCCAGCCAAGGCGTGGATTTTTTAAAGAAGATTTTTCTAAGGCCAGCCAAGGCGTGGATTTTTTAAAGAAGATTTTTCTAAGGCCAGCCAAGGCGTGGATTTTTTAAAGAAGATTTTTCTAAGGCCAGCCAAGGCGTGGATTTTTTAAAGAAGATTTTTCTAAGGCCAGCCAAGGCGTGGATTTTTTAAAGAAGATTTTTCTAAGGCCAGCCAAGGCGTGGATTTTTTAAAGAAGATTTTTCTAAGGCCAGCCAAGGCGTGGATTTTTTAAAGAAGATTTTTCTAAGGCCAGCCAAGGCGTGGATTTTTTTAAGAATATTTTTCTAAGGCCAGCCAGCCAAGGCGTGGATTTTTTAAAGAAGATTTTTCTAAGGCCAGCCAAGGCGTGGATTTTTTAAAGAAGATTTTTCTAAGGCCACATAAGGCGTGGATTTTTTAAAGAAGATTTTTCTAAGGCCAGCCAAGGCGTGGATTTTTTAAAGAAGATTTTTCTAAGGCCAGCCAAGGCGTGGATTTTTTAAAGAAGATTTTTCTAAGGCCAGCCAAGGCGTGGATTTTCTAAACATCTAGCCAAGGCGTGGATTTTTTAAACATCTAAGGCCAGCCAAGGCGTGGATTTTTTAAAGAAGATTTTTCTAAGGCCAGCCAAGGCGTGGATTTTTTAAAGAAGATTTTTCTAAGGCCAGCCAAGGCGTGGATTTTTTAAAGAAGATTTTTCTAAGGCCAGCCAAGGCGTGGATTTTTTAAAGAAGATTTTTCTAAGGCCAGCCAAGGCGTGGATTTTTTAAAGAAGATTTTTCTAAGGCCAGCCAAGGCGTGGATTTTTTAAAGAAGATTTTTCTAAGGACTAGCAGAGCCTTAGGCGTGGATATTTAAGCCTTAGGCGTGGATTTTTAAAGAAGATTTTTCTAAGGCCAGCCAGCCAAGGCGTGGATTTTTTAAAGAAGATTTTTCTAAGGCCAGCCAAGGCGTGGATTTTTTAAAGAAGATTTTTCTAAGGCCAGCCAAGGCGTGGATTTTTTAAAGAAGATTTTTCTAAGGCCAGCCAAGGCGTGGATTTTTTAAAGAAGATTTTTCTAAGGCCAGCCAAGGCGTGGATTTTTTAAAGAAGCGTGGATTTTTTAAAGAAGATTTTTCTAAGGCCAGCCAAGGCGTGGATTTTTTAAAGAAGATTTTTCTAAGGCCAGCCAAGGCGTGGATTTTTTAAAGAAGATTTTTCTAAGGCCAGCCAAGGCGTGGATTTTTTAAAGAAGATTTTTCTAAGGCCAGCCAGCCAAGGCGTGGATTTTTTAAAGTAGATTTTTCTAAGGCCAGCCAAGGCCAGCCAAGGCGTGGA